TACGACCAGTTAGCTGGTTCTTTGATACTTTATTACACATAAGTCCACGGTAGGCCACTATAATCTTAGCCAAAGTGGTAAAAAGCTTTATTCTTCCGACAAAGATGTCAGTTTCCAACTTTCCTGCCGTCTGAGTACTTCTGAAAAAGAATCTTTTACATTCTAGTAAGATGACAAAGACAGACTCTTTCAGTTAAGACTGCAATGACAAATTCAATGAGATATTCTGCTGCCTACAGTAATCCCTACAGGAAGTCTCTTCCCATCCTCTTTTCTTTATGAAAAAGAACTAAAAAGAAAGTCCAAAATAACACCAAGCAGCCAACTGGGTTACCTACCAAGTCAAGCAATAACCTCATAGTCGTAAAACAGCATCCTCCATCTAATGCCAATAGGTGCGGAAGCACTACTTTCTTTTTTCCCTTATCTTTTCCAAGTTAAAAAGCTCCTAAAGCATATTATAGAACAGAAATATGCCAATACAATGGTTAATTTACATATATACAGAGAAACAATTACATCTTGGCTGGTAGGCTGTTTATCCCAGCAGTTTACCAGTGATTACTCCAATGGTGTGACCCCTCCTCCCTACAGTGTATGATCTAATTCAATTGTTTTAGATTCCTCATGCTACACGTGGAAAGGTTTCCTAGGCGTGGGTGCACGGTTCTCCATAGATTGCAATCTTTGTTTAAGATGAAAAACTTCAACCTGCATTGCACCACTCAGTTAATCCAGTGAAGAAAACACAGTACGATAAATAGTCTGAAGGAAAATATAAGATAATGAAACATTTTTATCTTTGTCTAAGTAACAGATAGCCATGAAGCTCATAGCATGTACTTTGAGGTATCTGAGATATGCTTGAAAAATTATTCTTTAAGCTACTTAAACTAATAGTTATTTTAAGTTACTTAAAGCAATAACTGTTTTTAGGAAGATAAATAAGCATATATTAAAGGGACAAAGAAGCTAATCAATAGGGACACAAAAAGAATAAGCACCAGCAAAAAGTTGGAAATAGGTAGCTTAACTTTACTTTTAAGCACCTCTAGTAAGTACATTGTCTATTGCATTACCAAATGGGTAAATTCTAAGAGAGTGTTTAAAGTTGCTTGTAAGTATCAAAGCAATCCCAAAGCCTATAAAGAAATTCATTCCAAAGCCTCACCTGTAGTTGGAATGCTCTTGCTCTCTCCCCAGCAAGGACTCCTCTAGTTGAGTGCAGCTCCTATCATAAATAATCAATCAGCACATGAACGCACAGAAAACCAACATAAAAGGGACATGACAATAACAACCTCAGATTGGATGATTGAAAATTTTTTTCTTACCTTCTGCGTGTCATCCAAAACTGCCTTGAGAAATGCTACATCATGCTCCAGCCTTACGTTGTCAGAGTGGACAATATTTGATAGACTGTTGGTCTCTTCTTGTGCTAGTTCTACCCCAGCAAGCTTCTCTTTTAGCAATTCCATTTCCTTAATGGTATCTGCCAACTTTTTCTCCATATCCTGTTTACTCCTCAGTGCAGAAGACAAATTTTTCTCCGCAGCTTCTCGGCTTGCCAATGCAGCTGCCAAATGGGCCTCTAAAATTCCATTTCTCTTTATCAAAGCAGCCATTTTGGACTCATAAAATTGATATGTGCTGGATGGACCTGATAATGCTCCTGATTTACCATCAATTTCTGGAAATATTAAATCGTCATTATCAGCAGTAAGGTTTCCAATTCTCTGAATCAGGGAATTTGAACTTTCTGATACAAGCATAGTAGATGCCTCTTCCGAATTGATCCTGCTCATGGGAATATTGGTCTGCATCCCTTTGTCTGATTCATTTACTCTTTGCTCTGTTACCTGAAGTCAAGTCAACTTGTTATGTAAATGGAAGATGGATATTTCAGGTGATGCAAAATAGAAATGTGGCATTTAATAATTATCTACAGATTTTTTCTTCAGACACCAAGACAGCCCTACACAAACACTACAATGTCATGCTAATCAGTGTCTATCATGTACTTGGGATGGGAATAGGCCAATAACTGAAAAGAATATGTAAGATAAATGGTTATGAGAAGAATATAGAACTAGTTTGCAGCTTAAATACATTTTACGAGTTCTTGAAATGTGCCCCAAGATAATTGAAAACAATGTATAAGATATTTAAGAGACATTGAAAAACAGACTATGTGGAAATGTAAAATATAAGTAACTACTAAAAAAGAGTGATAACAGAAGTCGAGTATATTCAGAAACTTCTGCATTCTACCTGGGGAATAGGACTCTCATCTTCTGAACTTTTTGACATTTTAACAGATACATTATGTTCTTCCTCGTTATGAAATTGCTTCCGAAGTGAGACATTTCCAGAGAGAGGATTTGTATCAACAATGGAGAACTCTGACAATGATTTTCTACCAGAACCATGCTGTTCAATTACAGATGCTAGATTCTGCTTAGCAACAGACTCAACCGAACGTGTAGAAGAGTCATTACTCAATTGGGTAGCTAACCCTCTGGATGATGAACGTTTTTTGAATAGCTGTTGTCCAGGACATTTGCTAGGTGTTGATTGTCGACCCATGGATAATTCATGCTTCTCCATGATTAGAACTTCGACCTGCAAAACAGCATGAAGAAAAATCAATTGTTTATTAAAGCTATTAAGATGTGAATACATGTAAACAAACGCCAACCTGATTTGATGGCTCCTTCTTGGACCCTCCAAATGCAACAAGAAAATCTTTCTCCTTGTGATGAACAAGTACTAGGCTAAAACCCTGAACGAAATGACAAACTTAAGAGTCTAAGACAGCACTTTAGAAAACCGTGTGAAAGGCAGAATATCAAGCCCATTAAAATTAAAGAAATTTGAGAGAACTAAAATCTTAAATCTAATCCGGTAACTTTCTTCTACATGACATGCTTTCACTTCCTTTAAGCTTACCAATCTCTGGTGTAAGTGGAAATTAATCACAAATCTAATATGTGCCAGAAGTGACATTTAGAAACCACGCACAGTCAAATGTCCTTCATGGACACAGCAAAAATAATCACAAATCTTTATGTGTCAGAAGTGACATTTAGATGCACAGTCAAATTGTCCTTCATAGACACAGCAAAAAGCTAACACTGGAGCTACAACTCTTAACCATAGAAAGTATCAATTTGACAAAGCACACCTTGTAGGTGGTGATTGAAGTCGGAAGAGATGTACAAGCCACAGACCACTCAAGCTTTAAAACATCAAAGATCAATGTCTCTGCATGTCCTGGAAACAAGCATGTATATATGTTATAAGATAAATGCAAATAAATCCAAGACGAAATTGAAAGAGTTAATAAGCCAAACAAATCATATTGGAACAGTTAACACTTTGCATTAACTGATTTTCAACTGGTTAAAAACGCTGAGCAGCCACAATCTATGGATATAATCAAATAAGAGAGACTGGTCAAAGATAATTAAAGGCTGTTCATACGCTTTTTCCTGCTTCCTCCCCCTGCTATATACCACTGAGTTCCACATAAAACTCCACAACAACCAGCTCTTGGAGATGGGTGAAAACCCCGTATCTTTATTCTCGACCATATCATCTGAGAGAAAAAAAAAAGTTTCTAAGTATCGTGGCGAGGAAAAAGATAATTGCATCAGTAAAATATCAAATTTGTTTAGAAAAATAGACAAAATTGTTTGGATAAGTAACCGTCTAACATCTGCAGTAAACTTGAAAGAGGTGTCAATACCGTTTCAAAGTCAAGTGAGTACAAGTCATTCAATGTTTTGGACTTTGATGCTCCTCCAAAAATGAGGAGGGTTTTATCATCATAAAGAGCAGCCACATGGTTGGTTCTTGGAGATGGTCCAGTTCCTCTGATCATAAAAGATTTATGTCATTGCTTTTGAAATCACTTGTCTGAACATCCTAGGATAGGGTAATTAAAGGGATGAAATTTAATGTGTACTATAAAGGAATATGAACCAATATTCACAATTGATTGTATTTACCACAAAATTGTGCTACTTATAATGTTATTAGTACGTAGAGTTCTAATTTATAAACATTAGTTGTAGATTCCTAATGATACAACAATTATAATGTTGGTAATACATCCAAACTATGAATACATGTTAAAATTTATCCCTTTATGTATCACAGCAAAGCAAAGATCCAAAATCTCTATCTTCATGTTATCATTTAGTATA